GCAAACAGTTACGTAATTCTTATTATGGTCGAGGTATTGTAATAATTGTAATAGTTACGTGATAGTAGTGTCTAATGGTTTTCCTCTTGGGCCAGTAGATATGGGGTGATTAAAATAGATTAGTTGCAGTGAGCTGAGTTTTCAGTAACACCACGTTATTTGATCCGTATGATTATAATAACCCGGTTTGCAAACAGGGAAAGGGCTGCGGCTGCGCATAGAGTCCGGCCGTCTTGTCGTTGTCACTAGCCGTTTTCACGACGGCCATCAGGTACACATTTGGTGCACATCTGGTACAGATTAGGTGCAGATTTGGTCAAATCAGGTTCAGTGTGTCTCTTAGCAGCTATCAGGTAGGGTTGCACTAATTGCTTATATGCCTGCTTTGTCATATTATCAGAGGGCATCATCGATTAAAATATTGAAATAAATTCATAAAATGAAGATATTTGCTGTAAAAGAAATTAGGTACATATTTGGTTAAATCAGGTGCATTCGCTGGATAGCCCGTCGTGAAAACGGCTACTATCTACCGGAGGCACGAGCAAATGACGGTTAGATGGGCCCGATTTCTGTCTGTGTATTCTGTCATTTTTGCTTCTTATGAATGTCGTTCTGCCTTCTCTCCTTCAGGTATGTCGCCACGCCTCTCTCCCATTCCCAACCCACTTCTCTCTCTCTCTCTCTCTCTCTCTCTCTCTCTCTCTCTCTCTCTCTCTCTCTTCCTCTTCCTCTTCCTGTCACTCTTCCTGTCAAGTGACAATGCCCAACCACACCCGGGACGTTCAGCTCATCCACCGGATCCCATTTGTGGGCACGGTGATGGTACGGTAGCTGGCTCCAAATGGATCCACACACAGAGCCTAGATGCGCTGTCTGAATCTAACTAGGCAGCGTGGCACGGCTGGCTGTCTGACAGACGGACAACGCTGCTGTGAGGGGCCGTCTGCTCTACTAGAGCAGACAGTCAGTAGAGCAGCTCTACTGCTCTACTAGGCAAATGACGCGATAAGGTAAATGATGTCATGCATCGTTATAAGAAAGCAATCATAAATTTTTGGGATGTGACAAGCAGGACACTATGCGGAGCACTTGGTAACACGCATAATTTGCGAGGTAAGTCGGATGTTTTGTCCTATTAAGTAGGTCCAAATATTTTTGTATTAGTTTAAGGAAATAATGAGAGAGAGAAAGAAGGTTATATAGAGAATACAGGCGACCTATTGCGTGCTAAGCGCAAATCGTATTTGAGAAGCAATAAACACCCCCAACCAGTAGGCAACCACTTCAACGAATGACCAGCTGTGTCAATATTTATCCAGATTATTGCCTATTCAGTCTTTATTCATACACTTGCTTCCAGCTAACAAACGACCTGAAGTCCATTAAGTAACACCTAGAAACGGTGACTGTTCTACGCATGGATCTAAATGCAGATGTTGAATTTCTCGTAAGCGATGAATGTGAACAAGCATAATGTTCATTATCACAATGTTGGAGTTGCTCCAAATTTTCACGGTGTCAATGATTTGACCACGGTGTCAATGAATGGTAACATATCCATTGCTTAGGACTTAGGAGTGGTGTGTACAGCGTACATTTTACTTGCCCAAGGCCATGTTCGCTAAAGGGTGACCTCAGTGCCTGCCGGGCTGGGTGAGCCAGGTCACCACCCGTCACCCGTGACCCGTCCGCCCCCCCCTCATTGCAACAGCGTTTGGCGTCAGTTTCATAAACCATAAAACAGCCGTCATCCCAAAAATGGCGCGTGAGGTAACAGAGCCCGCGCCTGCGCGCGAGCGCGCATAACGGCCTCGTATGGCGCGACTCAGCGGGCCGGTACTGACCCGGGGGGGGGGGGGGGTTACTGGGGGAGGGGACAGGTCAGCAGTAGCATTTAGCCGTGTGATTGTGCTTCACTTCTAAGAACGGTAAACTTCAGCACTGTAGAACAATAAACAGCCATCCCCAAATGTACCTACTATAGGCGTCATAGAATCTTCCATTCAAGTGCCCACACTCGTCACTGAAGCAGCATGTTTGATGTCCATCACATTTAGCCAAGTTATTGGACCGTTATCATGGTTTCAGTCAGTCTGGTCGCACCATATCTCCTGCGATTACCCGGGTGACTAACGCTGCCTGTTGATGCCCTAAATCGTCACGAGTTGTCGCCTTTGTCACCAATCCGTGAACCGTGAGGACGGCCAGTGTATATCACGTTAACTGATCCGTGTATAAGGCGGTGGTCCGTGAGCTAGCTAATACACGTGAGGAGCGGTCACGGTTCATAACACGGGAGGTCACGGACCGTTTAGGTGGCGGCGCCGCGGGCGCACACACTGCTGAAGGTCACACACGGGACCATGGAATGGGTGTTCACTGTCAATGGAGTGGAACATCGCAAGGCGTCCCAAGGTCAGCCCGCCGCCGATCAATGTGACAGTCATCAATAAGCTCTTGAATGAATGAAAAAGTTGTTTTCGTTTGTTATAAAATGGCTATCATGGTAAGGATCATAACGATTTTAGTTTCCCACCTTTATTTTAATCATATTCATGCCGTTGGCAAGAGATAAGCCACGAAACTACTGGGAACAAATCGATTCGTTACGATCAACCGTCATGCTTTCATTCATATAACAGTCGCAACAGGGAGTCGATTTTAGGTAACCGCAGGTTGTTTGAAACAGACAAACACTATTCGTTAGAATTGTGTTTTTCTATTGATACAGCTTGTTGCTGTCGCTGGAAGGCAAACATGGAGTGCAGAATGGAGACGTAAACAAGGAACAAGGCAAACTGCCTAAATGGATGGGAGAGAGTTCGGCATACCATTTCGACTTAACAACTACATTGTAAAGTAAGGCACTTCGAAATGTTTATTGTTTACGATTTATATCTTTGTTTCCTGGTGATACATCAACTCATCCAATCTACATAGTAGTACGATTTATTACCTAATTAGCAAAGCTGTTGAGCTAGCGCCAACGAACATGCTTCCAACCAACTAAAAAGGCTTCGTTCTTTTGCTTGTAGCTGTAGACCACAGAACATCAAACAGAATTCACAGAATTCATCATCACAGAATTCAAACGATAAGCAATGAAAGGTCATCCAAGGTGCTGTCATTCATAACCCAAATATGCACCAGTCTCCTTGCTTACAATATACCATTCCCCGTGACACCGTCACCGTCTCCGTGACGCGTGACGTGAGCGCGCGTCACTCTGCGGCGCCGTGACGGTCCGGGCACACACCGGGCCCGGCTCGCCAATCTGGGAGCTCCACTGCATGGTGTACCCATTGTGACCGAGAGTGAAAGGCCACGGGGTTACTGCAGCGCAGGGGAGGTATAAGGCGGTGATGGAGCCGAGAGTGACCAGAGAGACACCCAGGGCGGTCGTGGTTGGACGTTGGAAGAGGAACGGAGCTGTGGATATGAAGGTGAGAGTGGGAGAGTGGCTGGTGGGAAGAAGGCTGGTGTCATTCACAGAACCGCCATTCTCGAAGTGTTTCATTTGTTCATCATTCACTATGAAGTGCCTCTGATTTGATTGCTTGTGCTGTAAAATGTACCCATTTCTGTACTATCAGCCCAGTACACCGGTAAACTCACAACCGCTCCTGTCCGTCTTAACCCTCGCATGTGTAGGGGGGGGGGGTGGATGGACCCCCCCATGGTTTTTCGCGAATAACTCGCGTAAAAAGCGGCCAATCGCGACGAAACTTTCAGTACCCTCGCATTGATCAATGTTACACCTACCCTGAAAATTTCATGACCCTGACCCAAATGACCTTTGACCTGTGACCTCTTTTCCGAGACCATGTTTGGCCGGAATCGCGATTCCGCGTATGTCGGCTCGCATTAGCCGCGCGTTTGCAAGCTTTTCGTGGTTTCAAACGTTCAAACATGTGATTTTATGTTGCTCCCATGCATTAGGGTGGGTGTCAAGGTCACCTGAAGGTCAGGTCAGGTCATTGACCTTTGGTGACCTCGGGTGACCTCGGTTCACTTTTCGAGTTTTACATGTTTCTAGGCTAGTTTTTGGAGCTGAATTCGAATTTAGCAACCATTTGAACATTTACGAAGTAGTTTTGGTGCCTTCGTAACATGTTACGAAGCTGTCAGAGGCGGTTGACAAGTAGGTACTACGAATACCCGTCACAACCCCTACTGGTTGACCTGACCTGACATGACCCGACCTGGTCTAAATGCTTAAAGACATCATCTGTGATCAAAACTAACACGATATTCGTGATCAGCACCCCGAAAAACCCCTTAGCAGCCACACTTTACGACTTTCTAATAGGTCCCGATTTTCCTGACTTTGGGTCATTGACCTGACCTGGAAGGTCAACCAATGACCTAGGACCTTAAAATTGGGTATCATCGGCTTCCTCTCGTCACGGGCAACACGCTCGTTTTTTCCGCGAAGCTCTAGCTCGATCAGGGGCCAAACGGCAGGGGGGTCCAACCGACCCCCCCCTACACATTAGAAGCTGGCAAACGCTGCACACATGCGAGGGTTAAAATCCAGTCTGTTTGCTCACAGGCCACAGCCCCCCTCAACCCGTTTGTCGTTCTGCTCACCTGAAGTTTTTTAGCTTTATTAGCGTGCTAACGTTTCTACCCATTCAGAATCCAACCCTTTCCGCCCATCTAAAATCATTCAGCAACGTCTAATATCCACACCCCGCTTTGAATAGGTTTCGATCTATTTCGCGGTGATTCACCCTTTTGTGAGCTTCCCTTTTACCGCCACACCACACGTTTGTTTTCAGCCCATTATCTTGCTGAGCCTGCTGGCGGCAGCAGTCGCAGTCCCCGTCAAAGAGGAAGTCGATGCAGTCCCGTCTGCCTCCAGCAGGAGTTCAGGTGAGAACTCGATATCAATCTGCTTATCAAGACATTGTGGGACGGTTATCAGAGAGCGTTTTCATGTTGGTTGGCAAATGTACCTACATATACTTGACCACGGACAAAATTGCTTTAAATGAATGGGTATTTGCTGTGCCTTGTCACTTCCTTACATATAGGTACTTATTTGTAATCAGTTGAGGTAAAAGTTGCGTAATTATTTCATAACACCAGTTATGCAATCAGTGACATAATTTGATGCGTATAATAATATATCTAAGTAAACTAGACGTTCTACGAAGCAAAACATTGTTAAGAAAAAAAATGAAGGAACGGCAACCGTAAACTGATGTCAATCACATCCGATGCATTGTTAATCGTTTGTGTATGGCTTTCTGCCTCCAGTATTGCTATTGATTACATGTCAAATATCTAGAAAAGTAGTAATTACTCTTTTGAATAGGCAATGAGCCGGACTTACATAAGGATGTTCACTACAGTAGGTCGTGCTAGGAGCTATAGCTGATACACAAGGTTAGTTTATTACACGTTAATGTCGTTTAGAATAGCCACAGTGTAGTCGCATGATCAAGTCTAACTATCCATTCCAGTCTCGGAGTCTGCTGATCTGGGCCAGGAGGAGGGCTGGTCGCCACTCGACCTGAACCGCGCACAGCGGGCCCACGACTCTGAGGAACAGACCCTGGGTCGCAGTCTGGACGTCATCGAGCCCTCTGAGCTCTCTGCAGAGGGCTCCGGTTACTCCGAGGGCTCCGGTTCCTCTGAGGACGCCGAGGACAGTGCCGCCTCCGCCGAGGACGGTAAGACCTCTAACTCGTACCTCTCGCCCCTCTACGCCCCGGCTCCGGGCGGCTACGGCTCCGGCTCCGGCTACGGCTACGGGTACGGTCCATCCATCTACATCCTGCCGATCGTGCTGCCGCCGCCGGGAGGTCACGGCGGTCACCCGGTGGGCCGGCACGTGGTGACCGAGACGGGGCACCACGAGAGCCACCACTTCAGCGGCGACTACCGGCCCGTGTACGCCGGGTCGTATGGAGGTGAGACATACAACGGGGATGGAGGGACGACCAGAAGTAACGCACAGAAGTAAGGAACCTAACGGGAGTAGTGGGACTAGACGCCGGCTCTACGCCGGCTCGCACGGCATGCAGGCTAGAAACTGCGTGGATACGGTTAAAAGAAGAAATCAATGGACAGGTAATCAATGGTTTCTCGGACCGGCATTTAAGCGCCGAGAGGGTTGCCAGAGGGCCCAGGAAGGGTTGGAGTCAGCCCAGACGAGTTAGATATGCGAGTGCGGCTCGTGCTAACCAGTAGGTCTGGTAACGAAACTACCTTACTCCTATCTATAACATTTTTTCGTCTTGCAAAACCCCATTTTCTGTCTCTAACAGCGCCCCCTCTGTTCTAGTTCCCCCGATCTACATTCCCAAGGAGTACGGTGTGTACCACGGCGGACACGGAGCACACCCCGTGGGACACCCTGTAGGACACCCTGTAGGACACACCACGGTCCACCACGAGGACAAAACCATCATTCGGGACATCAAGCCGCCAGTCTTCAAGGCCTGAGTGGACACCTTGTCTTCCCGACCCGCCAGTCTTCAAATCCTGAGGGAACGTGGAGTCTACCGTCTTCTGTCAGTAGAACCTACCAGCTAACATCTACCAGAAATGACGAGAGTATAAAACCAAAGACGGGTAGGTATAATGCGGAGAGAAGCTAGCGAGAAATGGAAACTAGGCAATAACCAAACCCGTGAAATGAATGCTACTGCATGCAGAAAGCGTTACGGTAGTCGTCTGAACTATTGTTAGAAGATAGTCACCTCATAAGGATTGCGTCATGACGCTTTTGTTGTTGTGAATGTTGGCAGTCGCTACCGTTCCGTTTTCTTGCGTTGGCTGAAGTCGCAATGCAGAACGTCTTTCATGGTATCTGTCTTTCATGTCTTGTGTTGTGTTGTGTTGGTGTAGCGAAACGTGAGAATTACAGCTTCTGAGCTGTCTTAACGTAGTTTTAGTCTATGCTGGTGTCATTTGTTCAATAAATGTTTTTTGATAATAAGTGTTATCGCTCACAAGAATCGGTCACTTAACAAAGTAACTAACGCGTCGTACTTTTTGCCACACAATGATTTGAGCGTTGAAATTGAAATGCTGAAACGCAACTATTTTAGCTTCAGCAAAGTTTATTACAAGCTTTAAAAAAATCCAGCAAAATGCGACAAGCACTAGCGCCTTTGCACTGCATGAGACACATCGGGTAAACACTTAGATACACGGCGCTTTGATCTTAGCAGCATTACCAAAACGGGTGGTAGGTACTCCTCGATCAAAGCCAGCCAGTTTAGTGGCTAATACAACGACGAAACCCATCAATATCCACAACAAATGACAGATTCTCTATTGGGAGGCGTGCTCAACACTAACGTAAAAATCACACGGGTTTAAAACCACACAGCAGGACAACGTCAACAGCCAATACCATGATCGTTGATGATTCACGGCCAAGTACTGATTCGATTCATAGCAGACACAGCAAAAACGTGCAAAACGGTTTCCAAAACACTCCATACATCATGATACACTGTTACCAGAAGCATGGCAGGATCCAAGCATGTGCAGTGTACACGTCTAAAAAAGTATCGATCTTCTCTTATGTCTCACTATCTGCCAGCTTACTACTCTACTCAACATTGAACAACATTAGCTCAGTCACAAGCCACACTCGGCAGTTAACGAAGAACTGCTTGCTCAGTTTTCTGTAATCATTCGCTTCAACTGCCTCCTCGCGCCTCAATACTCAGGTCTCTTTCTTGGAGGGGAATTGATATGTCTGGGCTGCGGATGTCCAGCCTTCTGTCACAAGCTCTAGACTTTACACCATTTATAACCCGTTCCCCCATATACCTTCCTCTCTTCCTTCGTCAGGGTTGGCATTTTTGCCGGCAAAAACTAGTTTATGCCATTTGCCGGTTTAAACCGGTTTAATCCGGCAAAAAGTGGCAAAAACTGGCAAAAACTCAGAAATATCACAATGCTATGCCTGGACATGAATTTTAACATGAAACATTTTAAGGAGAATTCGGTGAAAGCTTTATGCTTTCAAACAGAAATGACATTGACCATTGAAATGCTTCATAACTCAGAAACATTTTCATGGGCTTTCCATAAGGAGCTAGTAAGATGCCTTTTGGGGGTGACAATGAGCCAGTGCAAGGGTGACTGGGTGAGTCCTGCACAATCAGAAGTACGAAGGGGTATCTGCCACTAATATGCGCACGGCACCGCATGGCACCCTACTTACCGTGGCCGTCTTGCCCCACTCTCCCCTACATGGAAATACATTCCGTTGTGGATGTCTACTGACATGCATAGACATTTTAAGCAGGGATAAGTAATGAGGCAAACTTCAGAATGTTTAGTGCATCTCTATAACTACCAGAAATGCATTTGTACATTTCAAATCCATTCCTAACTAGAAAAGTTGTAGGTTTGACCATCTGAGTTTTAGCCAGTTTTTGCCAGTTCTTGCCACCAGGGTTTCTGCCAGCCGGTTTAAACCGGTTAAAACCACTGGCAAAAACCAGTTTTTGCCACCCCCTGCCAACCCTGTCCTTCGTTTTGCCTCTCTCTCTCTCTCTCTCTCTCTCTCTCTCTCTCTCTCTCTCTCTCTCTCTCTCTCTCTCTCTCTCTCTCTCTCTCTCTCTCTCTCTCTCTCTCTCTCTCTCTCTCTCTCTCTCTCTCTCTCTCTCTCCCTCTCTCTCTCTCTCTCTCTCTCTCTCTTTCTCTCTCGCTCCCCCTCCTTTTAGCTTTCCACCCCTTCCACCGGCCTCAGAACATACATCCTCACCTCATACAGCCCCCTCGGCATCCCGTTCTGTTTTCTTGTCGAACTGATGCTCAGACCAGCCCGCTCAAAGATGGCTTCTAGTAGCGCGCGAGGACGAGTCACGCTCGAGTCAGTAGCGTCGTATTCCGGCTCCGCGCCTGACGCGAGGTTCTCTTTGACAATGATGACGCCATTGGGACGAAGACCGCGTCTGAAAAGGGGAGGAATAGAATGTAAGATATGGTCTCACAGGGCAACGACGCACAGTGGTTTGCATTATGTCGATTTTAGTGGAAAATTATTTTGGATTTCGAACATATTCGATGACATATTTTGATATCAATATATTATTATTATTGATTTTGAATTGTTATACGCGCACGATTGACAAATTTCCGTTGCTACAACGGAACCCCGTAGTGTATTCATTGGCAGTTCGTAGTTCTCATGACGTCACACTTCATTGCGTCAATTTGTGACGTCACACGTGGTATGCCAACGGAGGGCACGCGTAAAACCTCATGACGTCACATTGAATGACGTTAATTTGTGACGTGAAATTCCTACTCCAACGGCGAACACACTACAAAGAATTAACGAGCAAACACAGAGACCGAACCGAAAATCCACAGCAACCGCGGGGCAATAAAAGCCACTAATAACCACCCAACACCAACACTGCAGGCCCATTCACGGGCAGATTAATGCAGCCACCCAATGAAAAACTACTACTAATCACTGTTTGCCGAGTCAATACCCCACGACGGCGAGTGGGTGGGGCACGACGGAAGGTCAGGAGGCGTATTTGGCGACTGGTTTTACCGTCGGCCGTGGCGCGACTAACGAGGCGGGTGACGGCACAAACGGTTTTGGATACTGACCAGCAAAACTAGAGCCCTCGACACCCTATAACACGGCCCTGGGTCATTGGGTATGTGGTGAGGTCAACGTGGGCGCGTAAAAAGGTAGCCTTGAACTTTGAATTTGCATAGGTCGAAGCAGCGAACTGTTACGGCGAAGGCCAGACATGAAAAAGGACGGGCACACATGATCGACCAAAAGGAAAATAATGTCTGTCAAAAGTTGGCAATATTCCACATCGCCCACCCTTATCCTAATAAAATGTCCAATTTATAGAATCATGTCCGCAATACGGACGATTATGTTAGCGTTTACAGGACGTTACCCTTTCACATTCCTCGGCTCTACTCACGCGCATCTGGCGAAGAACTGGACCAGATCGTCATCTGTGAGGTGTCCCAGCACCCACTGACACCAGATAACATCATAGAAGTCGGGCTGAGGGGTGAACTCCTGCAGGCCTGAAACACGGGCGCGGCGGTGTGTGAGAGCTGAGTGAATCGTTTCCATTTTTTATTGAAAATTGTCACGTTTACCAACATGGAGATGAGCTGTCAATATCTTTTGCACATACATAGTTCTAACAGTTTCAAGTAAGCCTGTTCTGTTTTATTTGAGAGAATGAATGACATGATGAAAGAACGTATTAAGAAGCATGAACATATTCGCACAGGCGTTCAGCAACTTATCAACCTAGATCAATATCAATCTATGCTCGAAAATAAGATGTGACTGAAGCACACCTGTTGAAATCATGCTTCAGTTACCTGCACAGTAGATCTCTCCAACATGCGGGTTGTCAGCCAGCGCCGTCCGCGCCGCCTCCACAAATTTTGCGCACTGCTCGACGGCATCGACGGTCTGGAACCTTCTGCTGAGTAGGAGGCGCGTGATGCGTCCGATCCCGGCGCCGCAGTCCAGTGCGCGCTCCCGGCCCGGCGCGTTCGGACGCTGTAAAACGGACAAAGTGGGAATATTAAAAAGGGTCAAATAAACAAACTAGGCATGACAGTCCAGTCCATACATTTGTTTAGCATGATCTGATATTATCTGGCAGTAGGAAGCCATTGAAGCAAAAACGAGAGTGCAGAAAAATGTGACAAAATGCAATTGCAAATCATTTTTGAAAAAAAGAATGACAGAAAACCACAGATGGATATTGTATCATGCTCATGTCAACTAAAAAATAAAATTATCAGAAAGTTATTGACCATCATATCGTGTCTTGCTTTTTGCCTCATTAATAGCATTTTTTACCAGAACCAACCATTGCCAGATTGGTGGATGTTAGAAATGCCTCACCACTAAGCCACTTTCATTATCCGAGTGACCCAAGTCTGACATACAGCAATCACTGCCACTGATTGTAAGCCATCCCAGTAAAAGTTCAATACCAAGCAAAAGTAATAAGAAAATCAACCCAGGCCAATCCCCAGCAAGGAAAACTCCCTTTTGTACAATTTACCTTCCAGATCGCTGTGAGCAGTTCATCAGACGTCCTGATGTCCAGGCTGGAGACCTGACCCAGTCCCCCCAGCATCCCGTTCACCGAGGCGGGCACGCCGTCCCAGTAGCTGGCTGCCTTGGAGTAGCTGATGAGGCTGTTTGGGTCTGGCGATGATGGGGCTTCGCCATCTGAGCCCTCGGAGGTGGCTGCCATTGGGGACTCCTGACTGGACTCTGTGCAGCTGACGCAGCTTATTTCGTCACTCAGCTGGCTCATTGTTGGAGTTGTGCTGCAATTATATGATTAATGTTGGTCAGCATAGACATGGAATTGTATGGAAAAAATATCAGATACTCCAAACAGCAGGACATTCAATCACAAAAACACTTCATATGTACAACCAGAATTTAGCATAGATGAGAAAACCATCGACTATCCGAGGAAGTTCGAAATGTTGAATCAGTATCAGTATTAAATAAAATATCATTCTTGAAGGTCTACTTTCAATACCCACACTTAGACTGAAGCCTGAAATACAAAAGCTGAAATAAACACGTTAATCATGAACATCAATATCCAGCAATTTCAATTTAACAGCAAAGAAATGGCGGGATCCACAAATGACGCTGCTGCGCCAACTTCGCTCTCTTGGTGAATTTAGCACTAAAATGCAGCAATAATGTTTTGCTGCTATTTTGCTCTTGCTTTAGAGCATAAGTCATGTATGTCACAAATAAGTTTACGTGTACACAGTGCACTTAAAAGGAAAGCTCATCTGAGTTAACAATATTCAATCATATTATGTCATGGAAAACTGCCACTTCCCGGTGCCGGACCCCGCTTGGAAACAAGACTACATTGCTGAGTCATGCTTGATTGCTAATCCTGACCTTCAAATTGGCCGATGAGGCCGTAGCACCGGGCGGATAAGGCCCATCAGTCCACTAGCTCCGCTGCACTGGTTCGACACGCTGCCCCGCCTGTCTGCACCGCTCCCGCAAACTTTCGCCGCGATGATTCTGTACTCGTTCTTCATGAGCTCGTGCTCGTGGCGTGTGCGAGTCGCTCTGCGTGCAAAAGGAATCGACTACGAATATCGTCCCATCAACCTCCTGAAAGGTGAACAGCGTGGCGAGGAGTTTCTGAAGGTGAACCCCATGGGACAAGTCCCCACCTTTATCGACGGAGACCTGATGCTCACCCAGTCGATGGCTATACTGGAGTATCTGGAGGAACTCCAGCCCGAGCCAAGTCTTCTGCCGTCCGACCGCTCGCAGCGGGCCATCGTGCGTCAGATTTGTGAAATGATAAACGCTGGGATCCAGCCGGTGCAGTCTGGCGCCTACGCGCGACTGGAGGCGATTGGTGGAGAGGGCGCCGGCCTGGCGTGGGGTCAGGAGGCCATCGATAAGGGATTCACGGCGCTGGAGGGCATGCTGGCCAAGACAGCCGGAACGCACTGCGTGGGTGACGAGCTGACCCTCGCCGACTGCTGCCTGGTGCCGCAGGTGAGTCCAGAAACTGAACGGCTTTTCATTATTGTGTCCTAAGATAAAATGTGTTTGTCGGATGCATTAGAAATGCCGTAACTTAGTAACTAATTATATATGATAGAGTCGGTTCTGGCTTCCGGCTCCCGGAAATCTGCTGTGGTTTAGCGGCATCCGGTGAAACCGTTCTAACTTATGAGTTATATCAGCAAAAGTTTATATCGAGTATACGATTACAATCGAGTCTGGCTCACTGAACACCTCAGTTATGTCATAGGGAATTGGGCACTTTTATATTTATACGTTCTCTCTTCTGAAGGTGACCGATTCAAAAGCTCGATTTTCTCCTCCTGACGACCCTTATGTGTCCCTTTTGTCCCCCAGGTGCTGAACGCCCAGCTGCGGTTCAAGGTGGACACCACCAAGTTTCCAATCATCACTCGCCTTCACAACCATCTCGTAAAGACGCCGGAGTTCGCCGATACCCACCCGGAGAAGATGGTGGATTGTCCTCCTGGTTTTATGGCCGGTATCGCGGCTAAAAATGCAGCGGAGAAGAGGTGAAGGGTGGAGGGGGAGAGAGATCTGTGGATGGGGAATGATGGGGGGGGGGGGGGGCGCCTGACCAACGGTTTATGGAAACAGAAGAAGACTGACTGTGACCATCTGTGACTGACAATGGACTGATAAACACGACTGAGAAGCGACAGGTCTGACAAGTGACAGTCATTGACATCTGACTGACATTTTAACATGTCTGATGATGATGCATTTTGGTTGAAGAGTGAAACAATAATAGCTGATATAGCATGCCATTGCCGCTCATTTAATTTACTGTGGTACTGAGTCGTGTCTGATTGAGATTGGAAGTTCGACTCATGACTGTGCCTGGTGGTGAATCGTATTACGGTAGCTTGAAGATCGAAACTCGAAAATGACTGAGCAGTGGCGAATTCCAGCTAAAATACTCGTGTGGGTGGAAGTTCAATGTTAGTTTTACGCTAGCTGTGCGAGGAGCAAACAGATGAGGGTGAATGAACGCCGAATTTCTGCCGACACACCATGAGGCAGCAGTATGCTGGAGCCTGGAAGCTTTTGTGCATATCTGCAAAGTCACGATCAAATCTGTGCTGTTCTGACCACGACAGCGGCAGCATCTGGCTATTTATTTGCATTTTTTTCTATTGATATGTGAACACAGGACGGCAGGCGTTTTTACAGGGATACATGACGATCATAATTGCTTCTTTTGTTAAATATACTTTTATACTTTTAAACTTTTTGTCTGATAAACAATGAAGAAACCAAAGGTCAAAACAATGAAAATAGTGAAGCTCAAGGCCAGTAGCATAACTGAATTTCTGATCTACGAATAATGCATATGACATTTAAAATGACAATAGTATTGTGATAGTGTTTGTGCATACGCGTCACGCTCGACATTTAGCCGATATGAGCTCATTTCTCTGCCAGCCGCTCTCCAAAGGTCAGCCCAATAATCAGTAGCAGCTCATCAGTGCGGATGTCGCATAAACATTGCGGCTGCCACCTGACGGGGAGCCTGGCGAGTTCCTGATGGGATTCTGAGGGGATAGTAACCGTGACCTCACATAGTGTTAGAAGTCGTAGTCGAGACTCTCGGTTGCGCACCGCACTTTTTACACCTACATACATAGGAAAACGAGGAAGCACGAACTCTGTCTTTCTCGTCCTCATACGATGCGATATGTCGTTTGGTTTTAGTTTGTATTTTTTCTTCTAATTTTGCAACATGCATCAGCGCCAGTTAAGAAGTTACGGGAAATTCAACTGTCCAAAAGTCAAGTGCTGCAGTATTAAATATACCGCTACCCAAACCACAACAATAAACTGGATTAGATTTTGTACCGCTGGAACTTCACACAAAAAGAGGACAATGTGTGCCTACCTATAGGCGCCGTCTTATTACAATCATCTGCGGTGTCCAGTCACCGCGAGGGTAAGCTTCACATAATAGAAGCATAAAAGACCCCTGAAAACTGTCCTTGAATAGTTCACGACATTATTAAATGGGCAGCATAAACACCTGCAACCCCAATGGCTGACAGTAAGGCCTTCCGGTATATGCTACGTTGGTAGGGCGTGCTATGGTGTAATTCATACAGTATACTGTTTCAATTACCATGTAGTTCGATAAATTCTCGCCACCGAGCGGAGCAATAGCCATTATTTTTTCTCGTCTACGACGGTGCGAAGCAATAAGATTCCTAAAATGAGGAATATTGAAACCGTTCTATATGCACGGCCTAAGTAAATGTTCACTGATGAATTAAATGTAAATGTGTTGAAAGCGATAGCAAAATGGTTCAAGAGAATGTGCCTGAATCGGCCGGATTCAGGCACACAGCAGTTGTTTGTGTCCCTCTGATAAGTTTTATATCGTCACTCACGAGGACGGCACCAATTTTGACGAACGAATATTCTAAATACTGCTAAATAATTGTTAATCGATTGTGTTCACCACGCAATCAAGTCAATGACCAATTCACAATGCGATGCTTGCCTATTGCCTACACCGGCGAATTTCAGACTCATTTAAAGATTAAACGCGGTCAAGCAGCCGTCCTATACCTTAGAAGTCAATTATTCGGTGCCGATAATGTCTCTGCCGTGTCATTTGCTAGGCACGTCTCATAATCTCATCCGAGTTCATCACATATGCGTCACTTTGATAGGTCCATTAGGACCGTTCGATTTTCACTGGCGGCTGCCCATTTTACATTCAGTCAGAGCTATATGGTATCGATGATTAGTGTTTATCATAGGTAATAACCTTTCTTGGGGCGTCCGCGCAGCTCATAGCTCGGACTGCGCAGAGGTTAGAGGATAATGGGAAGGTCTGGGCAGAGGCTAACAGAGGTAGCGAGGTCTCGAGGGTGGCTTGAAGAGGGGATTCGTGTCAGGACCGGCGGAGGAGAAGGACCTGGGACAGAGGCTCCGGCTGGATCGGCCGTCGAAGAAGAGAAGAGCTCACTCCAAGACGGGCGGTTAGGCAGACAGGCAAGACAGTTGACCCTTGGTTACTGAAGTTACTGCCGCGCTGGCGGCAGTGTGAGGAAGGAGAAAATAATGAAGATTTCTGAGCAACGTGACCTGATCGGTGTTGGAGGGTGAGAAGACCTACTGAATCCAATCCAAGTCATTCTTCTGAAGATAGCTATCTGAGTTGAAAAACCATAGCAAGCAAAAGAGCGACGATAAAAAAGATACGCTGATTACAAGCGGACAGCGAGCGACCACATAAACAGCAGCTAAGCACTTCCGAAAACAATCACACCGTAACTGTCATTCCTATTCCTCATTAACCATGATCACGGCTGAGGCTGACGGTATCGGTCGCCCCCGCGCCCTGGGCTCCCGTGGCGGTCTACCGTACCGCCGTGGCGTCGGCCCCACTCCTCTGGAGGAGAAGGCACGCTCGGTGGAGAATGGAGCCGGTAAGGAGGGGATGGCTGGGCGGGTTGGCTGGCCGGCGCCGATCCATGTCGCTAACCCTCCCCGGGACAGTCTGGCTGGGATCATCGGTCTCTGGATGCGTTTCTGGAGTCGGGTGTGTCTCCTGGGGGTGCTCCAGTGCCCTCCGTCCGGATGGGGTCGGCTCCCGTGGTTCCTGCTCCGTGCTGTGCTGGCGGCTACTCTGATGACCCAGGCTGTGGCCTTTATTCGCACGCTCCCCAACTACCCAATCAGCTCGATTCTGTTCATGGCCATCCAGGCTTGTCAACACTTCAGCCTCCTCCAATTCCTCCTCCCGGCTCTGTCTTTCCGCGCCGGAGCGTTCCCTCGCGCTCTCAACATCATGGCTCGTACTCAAGCCCTCCCCGTCTTCGCCGATCTCCGTCTCGAACGCCCCAAATTCCGTCTGAAGCTGATCTACATCATCGCGGTAAAGACGTTCCTGTTTATGATCGTCCTGCACGTGGTGGGCGGCCTGCTGGCGGTGCGTCATCAGCGGGAGATTGGTGATGACGTCAGCCGGTTCAGCCTGTTTCCGCCAGTGGTGAGAGCCGAGAGCGTGGTGGTGCACTCACTGCTGGTGCTGCTGCAGGTGAGAACGGGGTGAGAAAGATGGTGAGATACCTTTTCACGGTGTTCGGCATTTCCAACATTTTTAGACTTATTCTTCGATCATTTTTGTTTCATTTTTTCATCGAACGTAAACTTTAGCTTCCTCTTTGGCTAAACGAATGGTGTGAGTGTGACGTTCTAATAGCAATCTAAAACTACTCTAGCGTCGCTCTTGGAGCTATCTTAGAGTTATTTTGCCGCAATTTTGCTCTAATCGCGCTCCATCGTCTCACCTCAGTGTAAAACACCGTTTTTATTACCAGTCTGCTGTGTCTTCGACCCCACTCTAACGCCTCTCTCTATCTCCCTCTCTCTCTCCCTCTCTCCCCCCCCCTCTCTCTCTCTCTCTCTCTCTCTCTCCAGTTCGTCCACCTGGTCTCGGTATACGGCGCCAACCTTCTCAGCGTCTCCACCGTACACAGCATCAACGTGTTCCTCTACAGCCACCTGACGCACCTGTCTCGACACGTGTCCAAACTGCTGACCCGGAGACGGGCCGCTTCCGGTGCCGTCTGGAACGCTGCCAACTCCGACCAGGGCGCCAACGTGCGGCCCTGGAACGAACTGCTCGAGGCGCACTCACTGCTCTGGGAGTAAGTGGGGTCCGGAATTTGGAATGAATTCATGAGACGAGCACGTGCTTGAGTTCAAAGACCTAATGTGTTCCTCAGCCCTGTTGTTTTTCAACTTGTCTAGCTCTTGTTAATTGCCTAATTGTCGCGATATTGGTGAGCTTTTCGGTTGATTCGTCTGGATTGGACTGTCCAGTTAAATTTGCGCATCGCTTTTCATTTACAGAGTCAGTATTGGGCTGTTACACTTCTATACATTCCATCACATTCTCTGAACCATAACATGGCATGACCCTGATCTTCTCATTCTAGTCTGCAGCATGAACTTCAAATCAGTTTCAACGAGTGCGGCGTTCTTACCCATCTGGCCGGCCTGCTTGACATGTGTCTCACTTCTTACATCTGTATCAGGGTAAGATATAGGATAAAGGGTTGATAGGGTAAGATGGGGAAGGATGTGTGTGTGTCTGACTTTCCACATCTGCATCCGGGTGAAATTTAAGGTATCGAGTAGATAGAGTAAGACAGAGTAAAATACAGGAATAACAGCCTACAGGTCTGCTGTTTGAAAGTCGAAACAGCCTTACTCCGTCTCAAATTGAGCATCAATATCGTTTTACAGGACATTTAAATCTGCAATTATATAACATGATGTTGTTTCTAATAAGTGTATTACTTTTTTACATTTCAGGTGACCTCCCAATATGGCATGGACTGGATGACTACCCTTGTCTGCTTTGGATTCATGCTGCCGTCTGGAATCTGCATCCTTTTCGAGTCCAAATCCGTGGATATCGTACGAAATGCTGTAAGTCAATGCTTTATTTTGACAAAATTTTGTATCCGATGACTGGATTCATTGTTATCATTCTGTGTGCGGTAAAGTTTAATAAATATTGCATCAAATTCGGACCGCTAAAGCAAGAACCATTCCAAACCACCCTGGGGTTTGCTTTTATCATCTTTTTACAAAAAAAAAAATCGCTACTAAATAGTCCGCGCCTGTGGTAACTGTGCTGCACGGCTCGTTTTCTTCAACGGTCGATAGATGTCGCTAGTAGTCACTGCCTGGAGTTATGCTGTGCCGCATTGCACATGTCCAGCTTTCCACTATGTCCCGTAGATGTCGCTAGTAGTCAGCGCCTGCAGTTATACTGTGCCGCAATGCATAACATTTCGTCTTTGAGTATTTATAGTGGGGAAATGGTCACAACAGTCAGCGTATAAGGCTATTCCACGCACTTCCGAGCCTCAAACCCTTGTATACCTAGGCTTCGTATTAGAGATGTCAATCGGATACCGACTTTTAGGTATACCGATACAAAACCGATACCAACTCGGTATTTGGTATTTCAATCCTAATGTGTTTGGTATTTTGTTGGTATCATGAACCCTAGCTAATGTTTAAGAGGCTAAAAAATCGGTAAAAAGTTGCTATTTTCCTCATCTTCCCAAGTTGGTTTGGTTTCGGTATTTCTCCACGGTTTTGGTTGGTAATTGGTTTGGTATCGGTATTCCGATTTTCCGTTATTGACATCACTACTTCGTATATCTATCTCTAGTTCTACCCTACTAATCAATTTAATTAATTCTAGCTAACGGCCTCCTCCACCCCGCCCCGTCAGAACGCGGCCATTTTCCGGTCCAACTACGGCTCCTCATGGAGCGACCTGCACCCCCGCGAGCTGGAACTGGCCAACATCCTGATGCAGCGCTCCCGCGAGCCTATGCAGCTCACCGCCATCGACCTCTTCGATATCTCCATGAGAAACTTCGGCGCGGTGAGAGGATGAATAGGATATCAATGCTGCATAGTTTGATCGTTGTATGAATTATAGCATTTGTTTATCTTAGAATGAATATTTGCTATTATCAAGTGGAACTGGCTTGTTGTTTAGAGCATGGGCGTAAGAACCTCACGAAAAGTGGGGGAGGGGGGGGGGGCAGCAAAACTTCAATGTTACTTTGTGTGAGCCCAACACCCCTATGAAAAAATGAATTGCAGTTTTGTACTCATCACACCTTGCTGAATCGTTTATTTCTCTATTTAAATCACAAAATAGAAATTTCACTTTAAAAATGGCTGAAAGGGGGGGCATGGCCCTCCGCCCCTCCCCCTGCCTGTTCTTACGCCCATGGCTTAGAGCATCATTATCTAGGCTGCATTAGAAGCCGCGAAATGTGTATTTTGTCTATAATGTCGGGATTAATGCCTTGCACATTTCCGACAAGTGTGATAGGTGCGAACAATTACGCAGCATTCACATGATCTCTTCTTCGTTCCAGGTGGTGAGCCTCACGGTCACGTATGTCATCATTCTAATTCAGTTCAACAGCTGATTGATCTACCGACGTCCCAGAAATCTCCGGGAATCTAACATCTCCACTTCTCGACTTACTATTTTTGTATGCTTGCATTAAATTAATTTGCAATGTTGTTTTATAGTATCGCTTAATCAGTTATTTTCTTCTCTTCTTTAGGAATACTACTTGTCCCTAAACGAATTTTCCTTCACTTGAGCCTTCTCTTTATTTTCCATAAGTTTTAGGTACCTACTCTTGTACTTTTTTTTTGCTCTTTTAACATTTGTCAGATTTGTTTCGTTTTTAGAGTTCATTGGGTCGGTCAAATGTCATCTCGTTCCTTGGCCCACGGCCAAAACTAGGCTCTATGATGATCAATGATGAAATTAAGGGTTTCAAAGAATGTCATTCTGCCGAACAAAGATATAGACATTATGGCATTTGATACCTTGTGAAACGCGTTCCTCATTGACCACAAGTCGGGAATATTTTGGTCTTATTTAAACAAGCGACTAGTAATGAGTAGTAAATTCATGCTATTTTTATAGAAAAAACATATGACTAATGAAACTGAACATGGTCATTGCAAAGTCAATGGGAACAAGTAGGTATATGTGGAAACACTGCATAAAACAGCTAGCTCTACCGATTATTAACATAAGAAACCAGATCTAATCATTTACGAATAGTGTAATAGCCGCTAAATGATTACGCTTCGCGATCATTCGTCAGACACTGAAATCTGCTATCATCAAGCTCTCCGGTAGGGGCATCTTCTGAGGCTGGAGGTGCCGCTATCATTGCAGCTTGGGTTGAAATAGAGGCAACGTCCTACTAGTCAAGTGCTTAGTGCAGGCATTCCGATGTCAAGGGTATTTTAGGATGTGTAACGATGGAAGGGTCGTGTCAGTTTTATGCGAATAGTGAGATATCTATTTTTTCTCTAACGTCTTTCAAATTTGTGAACATTGCAACAAGCCTTTGTGCTTGTCATAGGCAAGGGTTTATAGGCATAGGCATTAGGCATAGACAAAGGACAGGAGTTGGTAGCTGGAGCTAAGTGCTAGTGACCTGACCAGAAAAGACTTGGAGTAAAAATAACGTGAAGGGTGCCGGGATAACCCCTGTCTCATAAAATAGTGCGTACATTTTAACGTAATTAGCAATTTTCGTGGTCCGAAATCAACGGCAAACGTAGTGTGTGTCGATAAATGTTCTTTTTAAGGAGGAGGGAGGATTGACATCCATTCATTGTGATTCAACCTGTTTCACATGTGTTGTTAGTGAGCTCGTTAGTTTATAGAATATCCACGTAGTCAGCTTGCTCCCTAACCATGCTCAATGCTAACACATCACTGATAAAGTGTTTCTGGATGCACTCACATGTCAAAGTACCTGTAGTTAAATAGTATGCCAAGCAGTGGTTGTTTAAAGTAGACGCTTTATATGAAATCGGGCCGCATCTTACCACTATTCTGTTGTTGGGCAGTTACTTAGGCAGGTAGTGAAATTCAGCATATAATTTACTTGATTGCTAAATTCATTATCAAGCAAGCAGTGCTTTTTTGTGGCCTCAACGTTCGTGTGTGTTGTAGGCTGTTTGATGTCAAATGTATACGTTCAGTGTTCAAATGGTGTTTTGTTCGTTGTTGCACACAAAGTAACGGGAATGATGCAAAGCTTCAAGCTTGATCGTGAAACCATCGCAGTTGTCGGAAGACATCGGAATGCTGTAAGTTTAACGTAAAAGGTCGCCACGAGCAGATTCATGTCACGATGTTGGGTGTGTATTAGGATGACAAATAAATATATTTCACAATTCTCAGCCTCATTTGAACGTCCTCCAAATACACGATCGCTTCTATCACGATGATCTACGCATGACTTGTTTAATGATAAATATTTACAGGGGCGCGTTTTTCTGCTGTGAAGACAGCTGCCGTTCCATTAATCACTAGTCCGGCATCCCCCGCAGCAGGAACGACTCAGCTTACTGACGCTGACGCAGATTCTCAGCAGGAGGTGCACAATCAGCAGGGCCAGCACGGCAATCAGCAGGCCGAACAGGCCGGCCAGCTCCTCCTCCGCCCATACCACCTGCAGGGGCAGCTGTCACTGTCAGATGACAGAGAACTGACACACGGATCTCACATGACAGCTCAGACGGCAGTTATAGGATACCACCCGTCACATCAGATGACTGCCAAATGACAACACTGGTGACTGTCAGACATAGGCGGTGGAACGGGGAGGGCATCGGGGCACCGTGCCCCGTTTGATTTTGACATTTTAACAATAGCCCTATGGACGTTGCATGGAAAGAATGGGACCAAAAGTCGGCAGTGCCCCCCTCCCCCCCTTAATTGAAGGTGTTCCGCCGCTACTGCTGTCAGACAGATGAGACGACTGTCAGATGACAGAACAAAGTGCTTGTCGTGCGACGTTTGCATTTAATTTCACTCCAAGATAAAACGTTAGCCGGCTGATCTTTCTTGTTTACCATCTACAATAGAAACAGCTATGAGCTACCAATACCGAAAAGCCAGTTCAGCGTCCGTCACGCACCTGTTCTCCATATCCGTTCTCCTGGACGACCAGACGACCGAAGCCGGGGGAGCGGTGGTTACACATGGCGAGGTGTTCTCTGGCGGTCAGAACACAAACTAGCAGTTAGACCACCTGCCACCAGGTAAAAGATGCGGTATCTGACCGATATGTTTTTCAATGAGATCACCAAAATGACGGATGTGCACTTGAGTACTAGATTAGTCTTATGTTGCATTACTTAGTCCTCATAACACAAATACAGTCCGTTAGATGACATGCAAGACATTTTGGACAGCTTTAGTTCGTAACGGTAAACGCAGACGCATCAAACATTTCCAAGGAGGCCATCAACACATCTCGTACCAACTCACCGTTCCGTGCTTCTATCCTCAGGATGCACGCCGCAACCCCCTCCGGGCTGGACAGGCAACTTTATCTCATGCGGGCTGCTCCCTTGGAGCGGCACCGCTGCTCCTGAGGGAGCGCACCCCGTAGCCGGGTGCAGAGAGTGCTTGGGGGGCTGGTCGGCCTGTCCATTCGGACGGGCTCAGCCCCGGCGACTTTCAAGGGTGCCTGCCCAGACCAATGTCTCCCCCTATATCCTATCATCCTCCCGGCTCTGAAATGGTCTCATTGGACCGAAAGGGCCTAACCCAACAAAACAAACAACAAACATCGTACCAACTAAAAACGGCAAAATAGTCACTTACCAGTTTTGGTTCTGAGCGCCAGTGTGAGTAGTCAATCCAACTCAGGTCATATGGTCACAATCAATCGGCTGAGAAACTATAATCTTCTGTGGACGGTTGGCACTCGAGCCTGTCACCAATCCGTCACCACTGTCACAATGTGTCACAGGTGTCACCAAAGTGTCACCAAAATGTCACTATGTGTCACCGAGTGTCACCGTGTCTCGCCAAGTGCCACAGTCCCGTCACCTGCTCTTACTGTCAGTGGTGTGTCGCAAAAGCGCCTTATCGTACACGACTGAAACCGTCATCGCTGATAGCTCAGCGCGCTGATATCAGCGCGCTGATATCAGAACACTGATATTACTGTGTGCGCGTTGATGCCTGTGCATATTGCGCTATGGGCAGGAGACGGGTTTGCGTATTGGATACATTTAACCACATGTGCAGCTGCATATCTTCCTTTAACCCGCGAGTTGCTGGGGGGGGGGCGTTAAACGCCCCCACTTTTTTCGCCGGACCATAGCATAAAAACGGCGCGCCGCAGGCGCGCCGAATTTTGGGTACCTGTAGGGAATTGATTGAAGTTTATTGTGACAAAGTTTCAAAAAAATCGGTTGGAAAATTTTTGAGATATCGAGGTTTTAGTGACGTCATGATTTCTGAGTTTTCGACCAAAAACGGCATATGTTCAAAAAATCATATAAAATCACAGGACAGACATACAAACATGGCCGTAAACGCCATTAGACTGTCAATACCATGAACAATCAAATGGCTATCTTTGATTATTGATTATCGTTCCGATATCTCCAAAATCTTGATCTGAATCTTGGTAATTTCTCGTGACTACTTCACGACCATGATACATGCATTTCTTAAATTGAACTTTTTGAGCCAAACACGTACACATATGATAAAATGAATGTCACAATCGTGTTCTACGCCCCAAATTACCCGTAAAACATGTGTCACAGGCTGCGAATATCAGTTTTGATTTTCGGGGATATGTGCCTACCCGGTTGACCTGACCTTGACCCTGACCTATGCTTGACTGACCCCTACATGGAGCTGACACTCTTGTAGGCCTTATATGATGGATTGTGCACCGTTTTGACAGAGTTTATGACGAGAGGCGCCCATTGCGAAGTCCTGAAGTCCATGCTGCTGAAAGCCCGATTTCAGGTGTTTGACCTGACCTTGACCCGACCTGTGACCTCAAAATTCAACTTTAAAGTACTCATCTGAAGCGTCTCGTCGCGTTCTTTCGTTTGCCGCCTCGTGCGTTTCGCTGCGCCTATTGGTTCTCGAGTTATCGGCTGGGGGCGTTTAACGCCCCCCCCCCCCAGCAAACGGTGGGTGGCGAAATACCCCAGCAACTGCCGGGTTAATCATGCATGCGGGATTGCCGTAAAACCCGTGTTTGTGAATGAAATTAGTAATGTTTTATGCGTTCCCTACACCATAACTTTCTTCGAACCAGTATGCTATAGGGTTACTCGTAGGTGCACTTCAAGGACTTGTCAAAAACCTGGCTTTCAACAACAATGGTACATACTCGCAAGGAAACTGGTAACTCATCAAAAACTATGGTCAATGAAGGCGTAAGCCCGTGGCTGTGCGCTGAAAATGCACTGAATAAAACGGTCACTCAGAGCCTATTTGTTTCATACCGATCCCCATATAGGTAACTAGTTGAGCATAATAGCGAAGACATATTTTATTTCCGTTTTTCAAGGGCATATTCAAACACCATGCACTAGACGTTGCAGATCTCCTGCATTTGCATTACGCTATATACCATAGCTATACGGTTATACCTATCCACTGTCTACTTATAATATCAACGTTCTATGACACAACCGAGCAAGCGGGTAGCTGCTTGCCATGACTTCACAAATGGCTTATTATATGACACCACAGCAGTTCGGTTTCGCATTACCCGAAAGGTATTTTTATACATGCCGGTACAAATGGAGGTCGAGCAAATTCCCACAGCTGACCTGAAATAGCCCAACAGTACCTACCCCATCCCCATGGCAACGCTAGTGGGCCAGCGATAGGTTCTGTCAGTTCAGACCACCCTCAGGGCAGCCAGAAGCCCGGCCGCGACCAGAGCTGCAGAAGACATGACCGCCTCACCGGAGGAGGCCGGCGCCATCGCTTCCATCCTCATGATGTAGTGGACCTGATTGTCGACGGCTTTACAGCAGTGCAGCAGCACGGTCAGCAGTGCCACCAGCAGAACAGCACGTGCAGACAGCATGGTGATGAAGAGGTGGTAGACGGTGACAATGAACGGAACTCAGTCGATGCTGAAATAAATTTATCAACAACGAGCGTTACAAGCGTCGAGCCTCGAGCAAGGTCCAGGTTTATATACCATAGTGCGTCGAGTCGGAATTCTTTATCAGGGAAGGGGTTCTTTGAGCACTAAGTCCAAAAGCACCGTGAAAGTGTGCGTATAAATCATACGAGCTCCTTTGAACAATTCTACTGTTTAGTTTACGCGAGTTTGGACTGGTTTGATCTGGCTGGGTACAGCTCTTACAGCGGCTCGAGCCGCATTGAAAAATGTTTATTTTATTTATTTCGATTTATGCCACGAAAACCATACAGCTATGAACAAGGCTGTGGAGTCGATGGATTGTTGGTGACTCCGACTCTGACTCCAGCTTCCAAAAATCAGTCCGACTCCGATTCCGGGCAGAGCTGTCGACTGCGACCGAATCCGACTCCGACACCGATTTCGACTCCACAGTCCTGATTTTGATGCGTGCCAGGTGCCTTTATTTATGAAATATTTTGTTTAAAAATGACCTGTTTATCAATGGACACATAACTTACGGCAGCATATAGGTATGCTTATGAAAATAATGGTAGACTTATTTACACGGCAAGCCCAGAACAACGCAAAGACGACACATGAATATTGTTTACGGAATTGGTTAAAAGTTTAAAAGGTGATTATTTCAGCTTACCTCGTTACGTCCTAAAACTTCTGTAGATCTTCTTCCAATAAGTCGGAGTCCCCAACTGACTGGGTCTCGGGACTATGACTGAGAGTCAGCTGTGTTTATAATGCTGGCCCCTGCTCTCAGAGTTCAGAGGTGGCGCTGGGGTGTGGTAGTGGGTACTGGATATATCCAGTATCATACCCTATTGGGTATGCCTACTGCACTTCTCTCTCTTTTCAACGCTTACATTCAACATATTACTTGAAGTATCAAGCCTTCTATGTCGTTGTCGGCTCTATCGGCTCAGTTACTGGCAACCGCGGTAAAAAACGTTAATGAATTAACCCTCGCCGGCCGACGCCCCCCAATAGGGGTTTTCGCGATAGCTCCGAACACGCTGGAGATAGAGAGCTGAACCTTGGCATACCTGACCTTTGATTCAAGCCGTATCTTTTGACACCGACCACATTTTTAGGTCAGGTCAGGTCACTGACCTATGACGTCATAAGTGAACCTCTGCGCGGTCTTCAGATGTCGCAACTTCGCAACGCCCTCACTGCCAGAGGAGCTTTCACAGGGAAATGAAACTTGCAGGATCTAGTATCCATTACGAGTCTCACAACTTGTATGTCTCGGATTTTTCCTAAAGATCATATGAGGTCAGGTCATTTTCGTGACCTCACCATTATAAGTCAATGGGGAAAAATAAAAACTGCTATTCTGGCGCCGGGAACGATCTCCAACTATCTCAAGCACACAGAATCGTGATTTGATGCACTCCTTGCAAGGTTACATGCGTCACTTTTGCAATGTTGACCTTGCGTGACGTCATTTATGACGTCATCAAGGTCATATTAGTTTTTCGTCAATAACTCCCGATCAAATTGAGCTAGCGAGTCAGGAAAGCCACCAATGGACTCAGGAAGACCTGCCAAAATCGAATGATATGCGACATGACCTCTTTCGACTAGCTTTGTGACCTGGGGGCGCTGACCTGGCCGTGACCTGAGGTCAACACCCAAAGTTGACCTGACCCAAACTAAAAGTACATCATCCGACGCGCCTGAGCGAGACGAACACGATGCTGCCAAAATCTGGCGGCTCTGCGGCCGGTTTTTGCAAAGTTATCCACCAAAAGCTGAACCGTACCTTGGGGCACTTGACCTGACCTCAGAGGTCAACAGTTGACCTAGGACCTTAAAATCGGGTACCAATCTCTGCGTCTCGTAACAACGCACACGCTCGTTTTTTCTGCGACGCGCTAGCTCCACCAGGGGCGAAACGGCGAAGGGGGGTCGTACCCGCCCCTTCCCCCCTCGGCCGGCGCGTATGTAGAAAACCGTATGTAGAAATAAAAAAATGGCCCGGCGAGGGTTAAACTGATAATTTGACCCGCTCACTGTGGGGGAGGGGAGGAGGCGGGGAGGGGGAGGTCTGGAACACCCCCACACCTATTCCCGAAAATAGTTAAAATCAATGTATCATACCATATAGGTGCCAAACAATTTCAACATTTTGACGCACCGTATCACACATTTCTTTCTGCACGTGTTGGATGTTCAGTGGCAGGTCACCAAGTCATGTCAAGAGACGACCTCAACAATTTGTGTTCGCTTGATTGAAGCCACACCACATTTGATTGCATGCGCTGATCATTATGGCGATATAGAGGACGAACGCGGCCGTCGACTCAAAGCCTCAAACCCTCCCACCAAAGACCTTCCGTTTTCCCAAACAGGCGTGAGTAACGTGCAAGCGCACTTACTCGTCTAGTGAATCAGTAACAGATCTCTCAGACAGTTCCGCGGTCCATCAGCTGGGAATGTGTCATGGCGGCGCCGAAATGAAGTAAACAGAATGAGTCGCCGCTGTCGGCAGCGCCGTCTAAGCGACGCTCACCAGAACCTCCTGTGAGTCACTGGGGACCATTGACCTCTATGGTCAATGCTGGGGACTGACTCAGACGGTAATGGTCCGCTGCTAGCGACATCTACAGCAATTAAAGGTCTGGCTAGTTCCGCAGCTCCCGACAGATGACACTACCTACAGCTCAGCTTCACAATAGACCCCGTAGAAAATTGTTATACATTAATGTTTACGACAAAATATAAGTCAGGTGTATAGACTGTGTATTCAAAAGTATACCTGCGTCGAAATCGCTGCCTATTGTAGCGTAATATCACAGATCGCTTTTGCTGCCCCTGTCCAGGGGGGCTGGGGCACGCCGTCGGACACGCCCTGGATAGTCAGGCTAGCAACCATCCTGCGGTCCAAGCATCGAAAATACGCTTTGATAATTTACAATAATATATTTCTGGGTGATACTCTTATTCGATAGCTTCAAG